AGAGAAAGGTTTGGAAATCAAGCAGATCTGGGTTAGACTATTAACTCTGAACTTATTTGTTGTTACTTAACCTCTTTAGGCCTCAACTTTCATATCTGTAAAATGGAATAAAAAATATGCTACTTCATGTGGTAGTGGTAAGCATTATTTATATAAAACTGCACAGTGTCTGGTACATTATAAACAGTCAATAAAAGATATGTACTATTAACTATTTAAAAATTTTAACAAATAACAGCAAAATCCTGAAATGTAATATACAATAAGATGAAATCCAGTATTTTTATGTCATCCTTTAGAATACCACATTCATATATCACTATGTACTACAAACTACCACTCTGGATGTAAGTAAATGCCTCATCCATTAGGAGGGGAGAGGGCAATGAAGGCACCTTTCCTGGCAGATTTGGGAACTTGAATACTTAGAAAATGGAATCCCCCACAAAAAAAAAAATCCCCCACAAACTCAAGTACTTCACAAGTACTTGAGAAATAAGATATCAGAAGTATAGTGAGGGAGTTGAGGTGGGAGGGACCAAATCCATTAATATATTAACTTTAAGTTGAAAAGAGTAAAGAAATACAAGCCTTAATATATTGCTGAATTAGCTACTACTATTTATACTCTGATGTGTTTATCTTACATACTCCAGTTGATAACACAGCTACCAGTCTATTCACTTAGCTGGTGCAACAACCTCAAATTATAGCAAGCAGCAAAAAAGAATTAAACTGTGGATAGCTAATGGATGAAATCAAATCACAGTAGGTGATATCAGGCACTGACAAAGCCCAGTTCAAGTTAGTAAACTCCAAAAAGTAAACTCTGGTAAGAGAAGGAAGTAATGTAATCTTTACTGAAGACTTCCTATGTTTGGGACAAAAAAACACATCTGGTACTTTACCTCTTAATTTCATTTAGACTGATCCTCATAAAAATATGTGGTATTATATCCTTTCTACAAATAAGAAAATGAAAGCACAAAAATTAACTAACCTATGTCACATGAGTAAGAAACAGTAGGATCAAGGTATGAACTGAGTTCAGTTCAACTCAAATGCGGCATTTGCCCCAATCACCCCTAAAATGCTTCTAGCCTGGAAGAAGGAAGCCTCAAGAAGTGAATTTAGGTCTCATCTCATACATGTAAGCCTCCAAAGAATAATAAAATGAAAAACAATGTTACAAATAATGTTACAGCAGCAGTCAGAGGAATCCAGGAGATGTCAATAGACTTACAAAAGCGGTAAAATAACAATTCACCAGGATGTTGAAAAAATAAAAGGTCACAATTAACTTCCAGGAAATCAAGTTTTAACCAGGAAACATTTATCATTTCCCTAAAACTTTCTAAAATCTATTCCTAATATATTACTACTTTCTTGGTAATTCAGAAATCTATACTATTTTACAACTCAACTCTACAGAGTAGAAAATATATATACATAAAAAAAAAGACCAAATAAACACCACATACAGATCTGGGTCAACTATGCGATCAGTTATTTGCAAAATAAACCATAAATTCCTAATACTTTACAACATCAGATTGGGTATCAAATGCCAGATAATCTATTTAATCCACAGAATCTATCATTTTACAACTGAATAAAAAACTGCCAAAGAATTTCTTTCCAAAAAGTAGAGAAGCAAAATCTGGAGCAAGGACAGTAAAGAAGCAGAGAGAATTCACTTAATGAGATTTGTAGATTAAGCATAACTATACACATAAACTAAATTATGACTTAAAAATGACTTTGTAGTTAGTACTGCACTGAAGTAATAGACTACCTATCACTAGAAGAAGGAAGACAGATACAGACAATATGCTAGATGCTCATTATACTTGTAGTCCTCAGATCTATTTCTAGAGTCTATACAACAGTTTTACAGCAAACGCAAAATAGATCCATGTAGGTGCATGGTAGTTGTCTCATTCAAACACAACAAAAACAGAAACTTACTCTCTTTGGGGGAAGATTTTACATTAAGTCCTCAATTCTTTACCTTACCATAACTTATCCGAACCTTAAAATGTCAAGTCATCGCCCTCTCTTTCCACCTGAATAAAACCTCTCTCTCTAATGAACACAAGAATCCATCCCCTGTTCCAAGTTTATCTTACTTAAAGCAGTGCCACAAATAAGAATGTTCAAATATCTTTTTACTTTGCACAAATAGCAAATTCATCTTGTAACATTCTAGATGCAACTAATATTTCAAATTATTTTAAGAAATTTTCCCATTAAAACCACTTAAAGGACAAAAACTTTAAATGAACCATAATCTCTGCAGAAATTGTATGCACGCATTGTGTCTCTATAGTTAGTATCAAGGACACGTTATGTCACTGAAATATACAAAGACAATGCTGCCATCTAAAGGCCAGATAAAATGTTAAAAAACTATATACTCTTGTCAAATACTGCCAATATATAAAAGCAATCAATTTAATATTTTAAAGTATGAAAAATTTATACTTTAAAACACTATGCTATGATTATTTTCAGACTACACAATGAAGCTATATTACCCTTTTGAGAGGATTCAATTTAATAAGAGAATTAGCAAAATAATTTGTCTAATGATTAGTATACACACCAGTCAAAATTCCTTTGGCATCCTGTTAAATATTCTCCTAAGTATCTCTACTAGTTGTTAATTAAAAATATGTCTTACTTAATGATGTTTATATTTCCTGTCTATAATTACATATACAATATAATCTTATAAATATATGCATATATAAATATTTGCCTTTAACCAAACTGCTATTATTTCTACTCACCCTATTTAAAATATTTTTTGTTAAAGGACTAATAATACTTCTCAGAGTGAAAACACCCAAACTATTTAAAACTGTAGGTTGTTATGCAATTCAAATACTTGTTATTTCATAAATTGCAAAAATACAAAGCATAATTCCTATGGGAGGTTAGTGATCAATAATTCAGCTGTCCAATAGAAAGAGTTCAAATTACTCTAAATTTCCCTTTTTTTTAAATTTCCTTTTAAACTGACAGAACTTTATTGAACTCAACTTTAAGATTAAGCAACATTACTTCAAATTTTCAATGAAATCAAAATGTTTACCAAGTAACACTACATACAAAACTGATTCCTTTAGCACTTAAGTGTAAAACATCTTTTTAGTGGACAACCATAGTAGGGAAAAACTAATGTGAACTAGAACTTCTAAAACATACATATTTAATTCCTTTGGGAAATCACAGATTAAAATTTTTAATGTGTCAAGAAACTTATCCTCTGTGTTTAGTCAACAGGAAAATATTAATCACTCAAAAATATTCTCATTATGTGAGGAATATAAAAAATTTAACTCGGGATTACCATGCTTTGAGCGTAAAGTGAAAACCAAGAGACAAACACAGTAGTGATCTCATAAAAACTACTATTTTTTAAGTGTTTCTCATAGGTTTGTACTAGACAACTTAAGAGCACTCCACCACTTGAACCTCAAAGCCATAACCTGCAAAATGACAAGTATTTTAATAACCCAGTTTGCAAAGGAGGTTCAGATAGCTGAAGTAACTTTCCCAGCAACAAAATGCAAGTAAGTATATACCAGAATTCAAAAATTCACTCTCTGCCCCAAAAGAACTTATTCTCTGTACTAGACCATACTGCCTCAAGAGTGATTATTAAATCTGTATTTAATGTGTAGAGGAATGTGAAGTATTTTTACTATATAATTTCAGAAGAAAACAATTCTATGTGGTAATAAAAGCACTTACTTTTAATTCACAGTGTTTCAATTTTTCTAACTGGAATCTTTTTTTAAAATAGCATTTATTGCACTTGAAGTGCTAATGCTTCTAGAGACCTTTCAAAACTTAATACATGAAATATAGTTATCAAATTTTGTAAATTACCCAAAGGCAAAACAAAAAGATCTCTTTGTTTTGGGGATACAATTAAAAAGCAAGTGTTCTTTGTAAATATGCTACATATTCAGGACCACCTTGCCCACAGTTTGAAGTACACTATTTTTCAACACTGAGAATTCTAGTGCCTCCCTAGTGACAAGTTTTTCTATTAACCTGTACTATGGACCTATCAAATATGAATTGAATGGATGTGAAATATTATTCAGGCATAAAAAAGACTGAAGCTCTGACACATGCTACTACATGAATGAACTATACTGTTAAAGCAGGTGGACACAAAAAACACATATTGTATGATTTCGTTTATACCAAATGTCTGTAAGAGGCAAATCCATAGAGACAGCAAGTAGATTACCAGTTGCCAGGAGCTGGAGGAAGGGTGAAATGAAGAATGATGGCAAATGGGCACAAAGTTTCTTTATGAGGTAATGAAACTTCTCTAGAATTAGTGATGATGATTGTACAACTCTGTGAATATGCTAAATATCACTGAGTTGAGTTTGTACACTTTAAAAGGGTGAATTTTATGTGAATTAAATCTCAGTAAGAGAAAATTAAATGGCTTTAAATTTATTATATATATTAAGTGTGAATGAGTTACACATGTGCTTAAAACATAAAATCTATGTAACTACAAAGATCTTCTGCCTCAATTTATTGAATCCCTTTTTCACCATACTGTGAAAGGCTGTATTTCAGAAGTGTACATCTTCCTGAATATTAAAAAACCCTAACTAGAATTATTACAATCCCTAGGGAATCAGAAGGAACAACAACCATATACTTATGTTTGGCATCTAAATTTAGTTTTTTCCAATTTACGTGACTTAGTTCACTGTCAGAATTAAGAAAAAAAGTATTTAAGTATTAGCACATGCTAATGAGGAATGTTTAACTTGCAAGTACCACATTCAAACACCTATACAGTTATAGTATCAATTTATAAAGTCATTTTTTGAGAGGATTCTTGCTTTTAAATAGTATTTGCCTATAAACCACCAAAAGAAAATAAGCAGAAGAAAATTTATAAGCTAAGTTACAAGGAATTCAAGAGTTAGAAAAACCCAAGGATGATAACAAGTACTTACCAATTTGTTTTCTTGCATGTATATTCTTTGCAATTTCAGACAGCCCTTGGCTATGACGATCATGCCTTCATCTGAGATCTTGTAACACTGGCCGAAATGAATATCTTTGAGTTCTCTGCATTTTGAGCCCAGCTATAAACAAAGAGATCTGGCTGAATGCTCAGAAAATAACAAAGGTAACATATTTCTAGAGAGATTTCCACATAATTTTATAAAATAGCCACACCAAAGTTAAATAATTGTTTATAAAGTGCTACTAACACAGAATATAGACCATCTATAATTTAAAACAGTACTGTGTAAAACTTTCACATCCTAATTAGTTCCTTGCTTCAACTACCTTATACTATTTGTCCACCTAGGTGCCTAGATTCCTTAACACCTCAAATTCATAGCTTTATTTCTTGAGTCTTTTATATTAGTTGTAGTGTTACACCAAGTGGGACACAGGTCCAAGGAATAAAATAAAGGTTCAAGAAGTGAGACAAAGTCCAATGGGTGAAAATAATAATCTATGAGATTCTGTTTCTACTTCTAATTGCCCCAAGGAACCACTTCCCTTCATCAGCTCATTTACTCTGTGAAAGAGAAGTCTCAACATGCTATAGCTAATAAGCTAGTTAGAGTACTCATTTACACACTGGAGTGCATAAACTGAAAACAAAAGGACTAGGGATTTCCTGATTAAAGTCTCAACTGTACCTTAGTTACCATTGACTATCACGATGAACAAATTACACACATTTCTTTCAAAATCTACAGAGGAGATTGGACGATAAAAGCTCACTTAATTCTCAATTGGGCAACATGCTTCAATCTATCCTTTCTGAGTAATGAAGTATATACTTTTCCTCTGTCACTATTCCTGTCTTATTTGTTAATTTGTTCAGATCCTGGTCAGTGAAAAGAGAGTGCACCAGCTGGGATCACTGATGAAGAGAACAGAATCTAGTCAAAAAGGAGTGACTGAGGTATCTGGTAGGGTCTTACACATCAGTGTGTGTGTGTATAGCTTGGTCAAGTCTTATGTTAAGACACATAAGTTGCAGTGCTGCAGCCTGTGAGAGAGGTTTTAGCTGAGTACCTGTGCTCTGACCTTAGCAAGTGGCTCTAGGAGCTTTATCTACAAACAAGAGACTTTCCCTGTTTCCAAGAGACAGGGGCCACATGTGTACCATACACAAATGAGGACCATGTGGGTGCCCTCAATAGACATTAGCTGCATGGGAGGTTCAGCAACTTACTAGGGAAGAGTGCCTCAGTGGATAATTACTGTCATTTAGTCTCACTATAGAAACTGATGTTTCGCTTTAGATGTCATCATTGGACATAAGAGGCAAGATGACAACTCATCAGTGCCTATCTGCACTAACCACCATTACGCCAGCCATAAATGTCCTTGAGTTTTAGACCATCCAGGTACCAGATAACTGGAATATCAATCATTTCACTGTGTATTTTCCCTGTGTTGCTGATGTTTTTCAAATCTCTCAATGCTGCAACCATCTGTCCATCCTCCATAGGAAAACATTCGGAGGCCATCAACCAAGCCCTCTAAAAATATCTCTGTTAGCATCCCCTAAATTTAGTACAATTAGTCCTCTATCTAAAAACCACAGCAGCAGTATAAAACTCCTCTAAACACAGAATTCTCAGGAATCTCGTCTATGGATTCACCATACTTATGTAATTAAACTTTGTTTTTCAACTCCTGTTTAAAAATATATATATATATATTTGGGACCTACCCAAATGGAGATCTTGATAAGTGCCCTAGCATCCATCTAAGACACCAAGAAGGTAATATTATGGAGGATGAACTAAGCCCTAGAGTCAGACCTATTCTAGACCATTCAAGTTAGAAGGTTTGGGAAAGACCTTGGGCTTTTCTAAAGATCCACTCATATTATAGCATGAATCTGACTGTAAACAAGACCATCCAGTAACTTCAATGTCTTTAAAAAAAAAAATCAACATCTGGTTCCAGTCTTACATGTAAGGAACTTAGAAGTCACCACTCCATCATAACAAGTAAAAACCTAAACTGAAAAAAATCAACAACTATTTTTAGATCCAACAAAACACTGAAGTTGGAGGGAAAACCACTACCCCCAAAACTGAAGAAACAAAATGATGGATACAGAGAAACTTGCCAGAGCAGAAAAGCACTAGAAGAAACCTCCATAGGAACACTGTCAGGGTAAGAAACCCTAAATTATATTGATCTATATAATGTAAAGGGTTTACTCCATTAACTCTTACACTATCCCAACAAAAAGTCAGTGTGTATAGGATCTACAAACACCTCAAAATTACCTCTATAATACTGTCCACCTTACCAAAGAACACTCATTATTAGATTAGAACACCCATCTGATTGTTGACTGCATGCAAACCACCACTCTCCATAGTTCGGATACTAGAAAACTGCTGCTTTAGGGTCCTTCCAGGTAACAGAGGTTATTAACCTTGTGGAATTTAAGCTCCAACCACACCTCTCCATTCACATTTAGCCTATCCTTCACTGCTACTTGCACCTGGCCTCAGTGCCAGGTACTATCATCACTCTACACCCAAGTGAAATGGTCTTAGGGACCTAAGACACCGAATCCCAGGATGCCATTTAAGAGGTTCTAACCTTTGTTACTACCAGTCCAGTTTCCTGTGCCCTAGGAAATGTGCAAGCACAGTTGAAAAGTAATAGAACTCCTTCTCTAACTCAGGAAGAACAACAATGTGTCAAGGACACCCACCAGTCAAACCTGAAGCAAAATGATTAATAAAAAGGGTACTTGTGGCCACTTTATCATTTAGAAGAAGCCAGTCCATCCACACAGTAAGCCATGGTTCACTTTGGCACTGAAAGTTATAGAACTGCAAAAAGACGAAAGGAAATAAATATAATACACAAGGGATTGTCCTTGATTCATTCTTTTCTTCTTTAGAATAACTATTCAAAATTGTTCACAAATTTGCTCAAATACACCCAAAGGTATTTTTCAACTGTTTCTGTAAAATACTGGGAGGTGATTTTACCAGCATCTCAAATTTAAATTAGAATTTTGCACACAACTCTTGAGACTTTACAAAAGAGAATGTTTTAAGAAGCCATCTGTTGTTACTGTGTTATTTTTATGATAAAACAAACACATTAAGAAGAGTACACTTCAAAAAAAAAGAAGAGTGCACTTCAACAAACAAAGAAGCCAGGCTCATGAAACTGGGGTAAAAAAAAGATTGGGTCTTCCCATGTCACATGAAACCTCCTTAAAACCAGTATTAAGAATGTAACCTTAGATTCTGGAAAGAGGGCTGCGCCAGACTGCATACACCTGAGGAAAAGAAAAGACCTCATGGAACAGGATAACATACCAAAGCAGTGGCCCAGCAGGACCCAAGCCCCTCCCCCACCCCAGATCACCGGCAGGAGGAAGAGAAACAGTGGGGAGGGAGTGGAGCCCTGGGACCGCTGAACACATAGCTCTGGAGATCTGCCCTGGGAGCACAAACCTACATTACATGGTGCTCTGGTGATTAAAGGGGTTGGAAAGATAAGACAGGCAGAATACCTAGAGAGACTGAGATTCCAGCCTCCTGTGGAAAACAGGGATCCGTATCTGGCTGCTCTGGGAAAAGAGAAAAGTGGACAGTCTGAGGGACTTCCTAACAACAAGAGGGCTGCTAATGGGGCAAGGATTTCACAGAGCTTACTGCTCAGGAGAAAGGACAGGGAGAAAAATTGTCAGGGTGCACTCTGCCCAGCAGGTTGGGAACTTTCACTATCTTCAGATGCTCCAGCCCCTAGGCTGGCTACACAGCTACAAGGCCTCCCTCCGTGATACGCAGCCTGCTGCACCTTCCTCCCCGCCAGCCCACACATGGCTTACAAACCAGCAAACCCTGCCCTGGCATCAGGCAAGCCAGAGGGAAGCTCCACCTATGGCAGCTACAAACGCAAACCATAGAGGATTATACCTGTGTGTTCAGTCCAATGGTTCAGGCACTGAAGATAGGCATAGCAGCCAGGAAGCAGGAAACAGCTGTTTCCTCCTGCCCAGGCACCAACATCGCTCCCCTGCAACCCTTGACATTTCTCCAGGGGCTCAGCAGCTCCAGAGAATAGAGCTTCTGAGCACTAGAGGGTGCCACACACAAATATGAAACATGAAAGGAACTTCATTCAAAGCAAAATTATAAATACACCAGAGAAAGAGTCAAATGAAATCAACCTTGTGAATCCTCCTGAAAGAGATTTCAAAATAAAAATCATAAACATGCTCACGGAGGTAAAGAAAAATATTCAAGAACTCAGGAATGAGTTCTGGTTGGAGATCCAATCACTACAGAAAACAGTATCAGAAATGAAACATACAATGGAAGGTTTTAAAAGCAGGTAAGACATGGTGGAGATGAGAAATGACACAGAAATTAGAGAAGAGGAATACAAAGAAGGTGAGGCACAGAGAGAAAAAAGGATCTCTATGAATGAAAAAATATTGAGAGAACTGTGTCACCAATCCAAATGGAAAAATATTCATATTATTGGGGTATGAGAAGAAACAGAGAGAAAAAGGGATAGAAAGTGTCTTTGAGGAGGTAATTGATGAAAACTTCCCCAATCTGGGGAAGGAGATAGTCTCTCAGGCCATGGACGAGCACAGACCTCCCAATACAACGGACCCAAGGAAGACAACACCAAGACACATAGTAATTCAAAGGCAAATATCAAGGACAAGGACAGACTATTAAAAGCAGCCAGAGAGAGAAAAATGATCATCTACAAAGGAAAGCACATCAGGCTATCATCAGACTCCTCAGCCAAAACATTACAGGCAAGAAGGCAGTGGCATGATGTATTAAATGCAATGAGGCATAAAGACTTCGAACCAAGAATACTTTATCTGGCAAGATTATCAATTAAATTTGAAGGAGGGATTAAACAATTTCAAGATAAGCAAAAGCAGAGAGAATTCACCTCACACAAAACCATCTCTACAGTGTATTTTGGAGGGACTGCTATAGATGAAAGTGTTCCTAAGGTTTAATAACTGTCACCAGAGGTAATAAAACCACAGCAAAGAAAGTAGAACAGCTAATTACTAAGCAAATGCAAAATTAAATCAACTAAACCC